TAGGCTTTGGGGTTTGGGTTTAAGGTTTCCTATGTTTGGATGCCCCTGAAAAGGCCTGGTCTCTTCTGCGAATGGGTTGGGCTTGACACCAATTAAAGGTGCCCCCAGACGGCTAGTGCTTTTTCCACTGCATCATGGCCTGGGCCACGTTTGCCAAGTTCCTCGCCATTCCACGGAAACCGGAAACATGGTTTCGCTGTGCACAGGCAACAGCAAAGACTTGAAAGCCAGCTGGCAGAGAAGTTGCGGAAGCAGGTCATCAGCAACCTTGTGAGCTATAGGCTAAACTCCTAGTATCCCCCTTAATAAGCCCTATAGTAGTCCCCTATATAATCCCCTTATATAATCCCCTTTTAAGGAGTTTAGACTATAGCTCGTGTGGTCATGGCAGAGCCGGGCTCTGCAAGTCTTGGGTTATCAGGCGTCAGGTGTGGGGTTAAGGGTTAGAGCTTTCGCTTGGACTTGTTTGGCTCCTGGCTGGGGCTTTGGGATTGCAACGGGGTGGATGGATTTACCTGAAAATTCCTGCCTCTGCCTAGCAGACTTATGTTTGGAAACGAAGCCGGGTTTAGGCTTTGCATCTTAGGGCCTGGAAGCCCATTTCGCTTGTGAAGGCCCCTGCGGGAGAATCCAGAATTTAAGCGGTCTCCCTTACATACCCCAAAACGCCATACTCCACTTCACAATATGCGGGCCTTGAACCCTAAACCCTTAACCCTTCACCCAAAGTTTCCTCCATCCAATTGGGAGCCATCTGAACCAATAGTCTAAACTCCTGGTATCCCCCTCAATAGCCCCTAGGGTTTAGGGTTTAGGGTTCTATATCACTCCCCAATTAATCCCTTATGTAACCCCCTTTAAGGAGTTTAGACTATAGCTCGTATGCGACATTTAGAAGCTTCTGCTGTGAGCGTTGATGTAGAACATTTTTGGGGGTTCGCACGTTGACAGGTCGGTCATGGCTTGGAGTTTAGGGTTGAGGGTTTGCGGTTTAGGGTAAGAATCTTTGATATGGTTGTTTACCGGCCATTCGGGATATTCCAAGATCCTCGTAGAGGGCTCCGGACAACGGGCCCATGGTTTATCCTTGGATGCCCATCGCTAAGCTGTCTCCCCTCAGCCTGGAACCCTATAAGCCCCTAACACCCCCACACCTCTTAACCCAAAGCCCTTAAATACCGAAGCCCTAAACCTTGGGTACTGCCCCCCCCCCCAGTAACAGTTGGATAATATTATAATATGATTATATACATAGCCCTTAATAGGACCCCTAATATAGACTGTTACTGAGGGGGTGCAGTACCCAACCTAAACCCTAAACCCAAAATCCTAAACCCTAAACCCTGAACCCTAGACCCTAAACCCTAAACCCAAATCCCTAAACCCTAAACCCTAAACCCCTAAACCTTTGCAACGTAGGCCTAGCCTCAATATTCCTTTCCCTGTGGCCTGGAGCCCCAGCCTAGGGAGACATGGGTGGTTGTCAAAATTATGGTCCTTTTTTTGGATTCCGGATTATAATACGGCACCGAGTCTTTAGGGTACCCAAAAAGGGACTGTAATTTTGACAACCACCCACATCAGAGATGTTTTTGGGTTGAGGTGTTGAAGGGCTGAAAGGGTTTGGGGTTTAGGGTTAGGTCTTAGAATTCAATGTTTTGGGTTGGGTTGTAGGGTTTAGGGTTTTGAGTTCCGGGTGGATTTAGGGTTTCGCGTTCGGTGCCCTTCGTTGTAGGATTTAAGGTGTAGGGGTTGTAGGGTGTAAGGTTCAGGATTCAGGCTTCAAGGTTTTCGCGCCCAAAAAAACACCTTCTCATCACTCTTCGACCTTCCTTGTGCCCCATGTTGTGTTCAGATTGAACATTTCGCGTTAGGATAGCCTGTGTGTCCTAACGAAATGAATAAACCCTAAACCATATAGTCCCCTTAAATAGATAGAATACGGCTTTGGGTATATTAAAATAAGATTCCCGGTATACCCCATAGTCTATCTGCTTAAAGGGACTATACGCTTTTAACCGCATAATGTGTTGAGGCTCGTTATTCATCTCTTGGATATACCTTTGTAAGGTTTGGGAAGTGTGCTCAGGAAAGCAGAATTTCCAGAGTACTGTACAAACATCGCATGCTATCGATGCAATATGTTGGTCCCATGCTTTTGAATAAGTATGGTCTAGGGTGGCTCTTATTGATCTTTAAACGGTCTTCGGAACTGGTTAGGCCCCGATCTCACTGGGCATTGCAGCATCTAGGCACACAAGAACAATGCTTGGCTCACATGCGCGATTTGCTTCCCACATTCCTGAATAACACGGTCCCGTGAGAGTCTAAGAACCACTGACCATATACCTAATTACCCAAAAATCCTCTAGCACAATTGAGCCTCAAATTTAGCGCTATGTGTAGTACATAGCTATAACCCTAAACCCTAAACCCAGTGCATAGTTAGCAAAAGAACCTGTAGCATGTTCACTGTCTTAGCTTCTGGTCCCCTGTTTCTGCCCAGTTACTGGGAGGTTCAGGATAATTGTATCACGTTTAGGGTTTTAGGGTGTACTTCCCCACGTATAAGCACACTAGCTCCCCTATTTGGGTCATACTTGGGCTCTAAGTACCAATTCTAATTTCTTTACAGTTACTTTGAACCTCCAAGTATGCCAGGCAAATGCGCTATTACCCGAAATGTCGTGCCCAAAGGAGCCCTCGTCCTACGGTAGATGGTGTAAGGTGGGGTGCAACATCTGAAATTCCCTGGTCAACTGGGTCCACGATATGACCACAGCGCAAGTTCACACAGGAAAAAGCGCGGAGGTTGTATAAACAAAAGTTTCTTGCATGGTGCTTCTCCTGTCATCTTAGTTTTTTGGGTTAAGGCGTTGGTTCAAGTGTTTTTTTCGCTCTCAGTGCTAGGGTGGTTGACGCATTCCACCATGCCCCCCGCTTCGTATCTGCTAGCCCTGAAACTGAACCCTCACCTCAGTTTCCTGAAGCTCGGCTTAGGATCCAGCTGTGCGAGCTACTCGAAGTTGCCATGGCAACCGAAAGGCTGCGTTGGGGGCGGCAGGGTGCGAGTTGTAGGCTTTGGTGGTAAAGGGCTCGCTCGGTGTGTGCCCACAACGTGTGGTGAGGGACTACATATGCCAAGTTATAACCACGTAATATCCTTTAGCCCCTTGTACTTTTTCAAGTCATTTTGGATAGCACCCGCATCTTACAACATACCTACCTAGAGCAAGAGGACCCAGAGGACAGCATCCTAAATCCTAAGCCCTTAACACAGTCGGACTCGTGTGGCACAAGATAGGTACCTGAACCCCGAACGTATGTAACATTATAGCCTTCTTGCTTCTTTCAAGCTCTGGGACGTGTTGTTGAGGTTTAGGCAGGCAATTTCTATTCACCGCCTTGGAAGACGAGTTGTGCCCCATTTTTGGATAATCCAACTGTTGAAGATAACTGATATAACTTCACTTGTTGTGTACTAGAACCCGACAGGAATATGCTAGTTACAGTTTTTGAGAGTCACCCCATCAGAAAGCAAGAAGCTGTTGACGGGTAAGGGCGAACCCGAACCCAAACCCTAAAGCCTCAATCTCAGAGACCGCGGGCAAAGGATTGTCAAGGGCCGCCTTCCAAAAAAAGGCCTTCAAACCCTAAGCTTATCAAAGGCCTTGTTTTAAGCTTGTTAAGGGCTTACATTGTTTCGCATCCATCAAGACCGTAATCAAATGATCGCAGAGAGATGGGTATTTAGCAGGGGCCCATTGGCCGAATCTGATTGGCCTGCATCACGATGACGAAATCCCCCTTTCGAACTATGGGGTCCCCCAGTCGAAACTGAACTCTAGGCCTTGAATGGGATCTTGCTGCTAGCCGGACAATGACCGTGACCCAAGAAGAACACTTGAGTTGGGATTGGAAGCGGGATGGGTGCGGTTCCCAAAAGTGCGTAAGGTGTAAGCTTCTTGAAGTTCTTCATCACGTCCCTTCATCTTACTCGCGGGTTTTGGGCTAAGACGATTCTCACGGAATCCCGAACGGAAATGGCTCCCATTGTGAGGGTTTTGGGCCTACCCTATGCCCTAAATCATCCTAATCCTTACAGGGTTTCAGCTGGTACCATGTACCGGCCCGATGGACCCAGAAAAAGCTTTCCTACAGGGTCACACTACTGAATACTCTGATACTCGGCATTGGTACTGCGAGCTGCGGCAGAATTTGGGCTTCAGAGAGATAATTATATCATTATTGAGTGTTTGGACCCTTAGGGTTCTGAATTGGAACCTCTGAAGTTCAAGTAGGTTTCTCGGAGCTACGGTCGATATGAAGGGACATGCGTTTAGACATGAAGGAACTTCAATTCGATCCGCCCAAGCAGGGAACCCCAAGAATATAGTAGGTGTATATAATTGGATTGAAAGGATCCTGGTAGGTATTTTCCCATTCTATTCCTACCACGTTCTTGAGGTTCCCTGCCCTAAACCCTAAACTCTAAACCCTAAACCCTAAACCCTAAACCCCATTAGGCCCTAGACCCTAAACCCCATTAAGTTAATGTGCCTTTACAAAAGCTCCAGGGATGGTCCAGTTCACACTGCATACCCTTCTGAAGCCCCCAAGTTTCTTCCAGGACCCTCCCTAGGGTTTAGGGGTTTAGGGGTTGAGGGGTTTAGGGATTAGGGTTTAGGGTTTAGGGATATATGGTCCCTAATAGTAGGTATCTAGGGTACATTATCTTAAAGGGTGGTGGAGGGTCCAGGTTCGCTTGAATCAGAACTTTCCCGGACATCCAAAGCCTAAGCCTTCGATAGCGGAGTCTTTTAAACATTTTGGACTATCAACCGTTCGAGGCCCATGTGCTGCGAAATCGCTCTAGCTAATCTTTCAATTTTGGACCTAGACCCTCCACCTATTAATATACTTCAAGTACCCACTAAGACTTGAAGGGTCCAAGTAATTAAATGTTAATTTGGTTCCAAATGTCAGTTTTGGGTTTAGGGTTTAGGGTTTAGGGTTTATTATTTGAGTACTTGGACCCCTAGGGCTACGGAGCCTATACCCCTACTCAGGGATGTGGATTTCCGGTAGAACCTCGTAACCTGCAGTAGCCTGTGACCCAAGTAGCGAGCCCCCCAAGACCTGACGTGTTAAACGCGGTTTTCCGGGTCAATGTTAGGGATCTGAAGGAGCATATAAGTATTATGTAGGGATATGATAGGGATATATAGGGTTTAGGGATCCTTTTTTATACTTTTTGGGGTACGGGATTCCCTATGTTTCTGTAAAACGGTGCCTAGGTTAATGCGGGCTAAGTTTTAGGGTTTTGCTGTCGGGAGGATCCACAAGCCCGTCCTGTCCATTGTTCTCCAAAAGTTCGGCAACGTCCTTGGAGGTTTGGGCTATTGCCCTCAGCCCGCAACCCCAAACCTTTAGGGTTTAGGGTTTAGGGTTTAAACCTGAGACTTAGACCCTAAATCCTAAACCCTAGACTCTATTCCCTAACCCTTGGACTGAGGTTTCAAATTGGGATGATGTAGTGGGCTCGAACGGTAAGACAGGAATCCGCTCCCCATGAATTAAAGCCCCGCCTCCCTAAAATCGAATATTCCTGTGGCATACCATAGTATTTAGGGTTCAGGGTTTGAATATTTGATGTTTGTGGTTTGGTGGGTTAATATAAGGAGGAGGGGATATGGTCTTTTGACTTCAGGGTGGGAATTTATGGGCTCAGTGCTTGCCCTTCAAAATACCCTAAACCCAAAATTCCAACCCTAAACCTTAAACCCTAAACCCAAACCTGAAACTTCAAACCTGACTCGGACTCTGACTTCTGGGAGTTCACAGCGTTAGCTTTAGGGTTTAGGGGTGTAGGGGTTTAGGGTTTAGGGTATAGGGTTTAGGGTAGGGAGGATTCGGGGATGAGGGGTTCCAGGCTTCAGATATAGGTCAGACGCTGTCGTAGAGCTTCAAGCTAGCCTTGAACCCCAAAAGGGTTTAGGGTTTAGGGCCAGTCAGGGCAGGCAGGGGCAGAAAGGCTGAGAAGCGGAACTGAAACATCGATCCAAACCAGCCCAAACCCTGGACTTGAACCCTTGCACAATATCTATGAACCTAGAACCCTCACCCTAAGTTTTATGCCATGGGCTGGATGTCCTGTTAAGCTGCCTTAAGCCCCAAGCCCGTAAGGGTTTGAGGGGTTAGGATTTAGGGAGCAGGGTTTAGGGGTGAGAGTCTAGCGCCTAGGGTCTCGGGTCAAAGGTCCTGGACCCGAAAGCATGAACCTTAGATCATGAGTCTTTGAGTTTGGGCTTTAGGGGGTTTAGGGTGTAGGGTTTAGGGCTTTAGGCTTTAGGGGATTAGGGTTTACCTGGACTCCAAGAGTGGGTAAGATAATAACCCCACCCCCCTCCAGCCGAGTATAGAATGACCAGCGTCGCATGGCAAAAGCAAGCGCCCAGGGCTCGCCGCTGCTGCATCTTCTTCCAACTGGCGTCCCGCGGCCAACGGCCCACGTGCGAAAGCAGCGTCGCACGGCGCAAGAGCAAGCGCCCAGCTCAGGCGGCTGCCGGACAAATTCCTCAACAAAGCAGGGCAAGCCGACCGGCTCGTCGAGGACATGCCCGTGCCCACGCCCTGATGAGGACTCGTCCCCAGAGCGAGTGCGCGAGCCCATCCTGAAGAAGGCGCTGGTGCCACCACCTCGGAGACCAAGCGAAGCGCTTGAAAAGCTTTGAGAGCTTTGAGAGATGCTGAGATGTCAGCGCCACGGGACACAGGAAATGGTTCCCGGCTACTTACTACTTGCTGAAGGGTCGCAAAGATCATGCTTGTTTTTGCCGTCTGAGCAGCATGCATTACGAAGACCTGGTCTGCACCTTGAGACCCAGATCACAAATGCAGCTCCCTAAGCTCTGAGTGCTTCACAAGCTACGCGCTTCAGTATTCATAACCCTAAACCCTGAACCCTAAATAAACCCTAGTTTGGGGCTACTTGTAGCGAGCTGTTCAGCCCGCATACAAACCGCAACCACCCAACAGGTCCCTAAAGTTTACAGCCCTCAAAGACCCTCTTAATCCAAAACCCTAGACCTTCAACCTGCAACTCTACCTCTCCAGACCTTCTTTGCCACCTCTCTTGAACTCAACGCCGTGCACACTCGACCCAAATTCTGGTGAAAGTGTTAGTGCTGAGGAAATTCGGGATTCGCGCAAATTCCTATATCTCTGAAAAAGGTATGCCTGTAGTTTAAGGATTAGGGTTTAAAGTTGAAGCTTCGAGGTGTCAAGCCCAAGAAATCTCCAACCCTGCAAACGGAACCCCTCCTGAATCCTAAGCCCTAAACGCAATGTAGGCGTATATATCCATCGACACAAGCTATACAGACTGTATCCCTCTATGTATATATATATATATGTATATACATATGAGCCGGTGTCAAAATTGCTGTTATTGCTCAGCAGTAAGGGTGGTTCAATGAGTAGAGAGATGTTCAAACCACCGAAAAACGGGACGTGGCACCCTAAAAAACGAAACCCCCAAAATGATACCTTCCAGACCTGCAAGACAATACGAGGCACCCTAAAAGAGCGCCGCCATTTCCACAGACAACGCCAGCTCATATATGTAAAACCTTTAACTCCTAAACCCAAACCCTAAACCCTAAAGCCCAAACCTTATAACTTAGGTGGACCCCCGACCATGCAATAGTGGCGATTAGGGGTCACAAGGATTACGTTGGGGTCCTCTTATATTCCTAAGATACCACTATTACAGGGTGAGAGCCTTCTAACGGTTCGAAACAATAACTCCGTAACCCCAAACCCCAACCCCCTAACCCCACAAACCCTAAACCCTAAACCCTAAAACCAACCCTTCAGCCCATTTTTCCGAGGCTTCGAAGCAACGTCTCCAGGCTTCGCTGTGGAGGTCGCCGAAGGCGGCACCCAGGAGGAGCCCAGGCCCCGAGAAAAGTTTAGGCTTTAGGGTAGGGTTTAGGGGTTTAGGGGTTGAGGGGTTTAGGGGTTTAGGGGTTGAGGGTTTGGGGGTTAGGGTTTGGGGTTTTAGGGTCTAGGAGTTCAGGCTGGACATGCTTGCATTCGCAGGGGACGCAGTGTCATGGGTTCTCCTAGTACCCCTCCTCTACAACCCAAAGGTTCCCCCTTTGATGAGATCTTTAGGGTTGAGGGTTTAGGGCTTAGGGTTAGCTACTTGAAATAATCTTGTTCAATGGGGGAACCTAAGGCGTGGGGGTCGTAGGGAAATGCATGAGTTTGGCGGCTAGCCGTCAGGAGGTCCCAAACCCCACTCCTTAGAACCCTAAAACCCATATCTGTGAGGGAAGGTCCCAGAAATCCCAATCCTTTTGAAGGATTCAAGCTTCAGGGCGCTTAACGGTTTATTGGGTTCACAAGAGCTTATGGTGTGAGAGGTGAAGTTTCTGGGTGCAAGCGCTTACCCTCAACCCATACTTGCAGCGTAAACGCGAAACATGGCACCAGTAGACCTCCCCTGACCTTCCACCTACCCATATTACTCCAACAACCCGCTCTTAGGAACCATATGGACAATGGAAAGGGTCTAGGAATGGTCCTGAGCAAGGCCAAACTTCCATCTGAAGTTTTATGTGCAGCATTGCTGCTCTTGATGTGCTGCAGAAGGTTCTTGCTTGAGCTGCCCCCCAAAAACCTTAGTCTAATGGCTTGGGGTTTTAAGATGCCCAAATTAGGATTTCCTTACCATCCCCCTGCAACCCCTTTACGGTCCCTACATATCCATGGCGTCTGAAGGGGGGAGCCCTACCCCATAAATCCTAATCCCTGTACACCCTAACCCTTTCCTCCCTAAATCCGCACGCACCCGCTGAGAGAGCGGTTCGGGGCATGGTCATCAGTGACTACCAGATGATCCCGAGACGGTCTAATTGTGGTGTGTGGGTGTTTTTGAGCAGAATACTGCTTACAATCCCATCCAAGTTCTACGCAACCAATCTGGCAATAAGATCTACGCAACCAATCAATGTTAGCTGATGAGGTTCTCAAGCTCACTGAAGAGGAAGTTAAAGGTTTAGCCCGCAGGCGCGATTCAGAGCAAAACGCATTTGTAATCTCCAGGCCCGAGTCATACGTCAAGCAGCCCCCTAATACCTCCATCCGTAAATCCCGATCCCTTGGCCCATGACACCAAACACCTTGATCCTTCAATAAACGAAAAGCCCTAAGCACATCCCCAAACCCTGATCCCTTAATCCTTAGCCGAAACCCTAGCCTCTTGATGTCGGAGAACATCTTAGCAACCGAGTTCGCTCTAAACACGGTGACCAAGCGATGGCAATCATCTCACTGCTCATGGCCTTGATCCGAGATGAAGAGTAGACAACCTAGCCTGAATGGGTTTCATGTCATCTCTCTTCTCTCTTTTTGGAGCAACGCTGCAAGCTGGCGCAGAGAAAAATGTGCCTATCTCAAGTATGCTGCTCAACCCACCTGGCAAGCCTGTTTCAGCTGTACTCTTTGATTAGACCCCAGGGCCTTTGCGCTGTGCGAAATCTCGGTCGCCAGCTCAACAAAGCAGCTACTTTTATGTGCACATGACTTGCTGGGTCATGCTGCCAAGCTTGGCAAGTCGTGAATTCCTTACTCGACTCCTGTATCCTAAGCCCTCCATCTCCAAACCTTAGGCCCTTCACCCCCAAACCCTAATTCCTTCGCCTCTAACACCCGAATCTCTTAATCCCGAACCCTACTCCCTTAATCCCTCATCCCTCCATCCCTACACTTAAAAATCCCTAAACCCAGAAACCTTAACCGCTCAACCCAAACACCCCAAAACCCTATAAACCTTATACTCCTCCTCGGCTTAGCCTGGACCTCAGACCCTTAACTTTTGGGGGTTTCCCTATACACAGGAAGCCAAAAACAACTTTTAGTAGAGGTGCCAAGTGCCATGATGACGCCTTGCCCGTTCCCTAAAAGCTTAACCCTAAACCCTAAAAACCCTAACCCTAAACCCTGGAATACCCTAAACCTTTAACCCTTAACCTTAAAAACCCTAACCCTAACCCTAAACC